AGCCTTCGGCGTGGGAGCCTGCGGCGCCTTCGGCGGGCCAGGGCTGCAAGGGCAGAGTTTGCAGGAGCTGATGAAAAGCCTCGCTGAGGGTATTTTTGAAAATTTGACCCACGAGAATGTGTTTTGTTCACTCCTTGCCGTCCAGCACCCAAGGCGGATTACTGCTCCTAGGGCGTTTCTCATGCCCCTGCTATTTCTAAGCATCCCGAGGCTTTCTGGACAGTCACCCTGGGCTGCTGAGCCCCGTTCCCAGGGCGCTGACCCCCTTCTCTCCTTGCCCTGGCCGCGCCGCTGAGCTGTGGCACGCGCCCGACCTCCCTCTCTGCCACGCGAGCGCTCCCGGTGCTGCTGGCCCTGCAGCTACCCCCTCCCGCGTGCACAGATGAGGTCCTGCCTCGCAGCTCCCGGATCCTCACTGGAGAAAGGTTGTGGGGATGGGGAGGGGAAAGAAAAGATGACATGATACAGATTTCTCCAAAAGCTCTAACTTACTGAAAGCTTAACAATGTCAGCCCAGTCAGCTGCAACAGCATACTCCAAGTTTGCATCAAGCCACCTTGGCAATTCCTTCAATGCTGGTGCCGTGGCTCCCCCTAACTATAAAACACAGCAGAAGGATGACCTCTATTGCAGAAAGAGTTATGTAAAATAATACAAGAAATACGATTACACTTCCCCTAGCTCCTTGCTTTGGGCTGCAGATTGGCTGGGGCAGAGACTCTTCCCTGGCTACACACCTTTGCAGGACTCGGTATGCGCCTGCTGCCTCCAGACACACAGCTCAGGGAGAAAAGGCAAGTTCAGCCTCTGTGGCCCGTCCCATCGCCCTCCCCAGGAACAAGCGATGGGGACAGAGCTTCTATAAAAGCCATGCTCAGAACCCACCAATTCACCCAGGGCTCAATGGCCATCGTGGGTGTAACAGAGGGAAACACAGATGTGGCTGAAACCGCCTCTTTCTGCCTCACACTTTAGTTTTGGTTTTAGACGTGATTAATGTCACACCACCTTCTGACCTAGTGCGGTCCTGGGTGTGTTTAAGAACTGAATTTGGGTGGAAAGTATCCCTGAACATCCCTTCTCGTTTGGAGAGGTGAACATCAGTGCACTGGAGATTAAACTGCAGACAAGTAAATCCATGCTTCTTGCTCAGTAAGCAAGAAAAAGCCCTTCAAACCCTCCACTTCCCACATGCCCAGCACTTGGATGGGTATTGGTATGCTCTGCCTGCACCTCGTAAGGAGGAATAAATCAAAGATATTTGCATGGCAGTATTACAATTTGTGGCGTATTGCAGTGAATTCAAGGGGAACAATCAAATCCGGAATGGGAAGCACCAGCCAGGGCTGTGCTGATGGTGGCTTTAAAGCCAAAGGCTGAAACCCTTTGTGGGGTCTGTGCACCCTGGCAAGGGTGAACACTCAGACTTTCCTTACTTCACACCGAAAGTCACTTATTCCGCAGGGCTGTGTCCCCTCGGGCACACACGTGTCACAGGATAGTGTAGATTAGTGACGTCTTCCAGACTTTTGTCCCATCCATAGGCTTGTCTGGATTAAATCTCCCCCCAGGTGAGCTCGGGGTCTGCTAAGCATTTCAAGACACCAAGGGCAGAGCACAGAACAGGCCTTCGCTTACCCGCCGTCCGGTACCCTTATGTACCACAGGCACCCGCTCCTCTCCTGTGAGTGAGTTAATGTCCAACTTGCTGGGATCCTTGCAGCGTTGCCTCCTCTGCTTGGGCTTGTCTGAAAAATTCTGGAGTGCAAACAAGACAACATTAATGAGACTAGACGGCTTAATGAGCCCGGCCGGCTACAAGCCCTGCAGGAGAGCGGCACGGATGAACTCCTGAGGCACAGAGAGTCCCCGCAGACCTGGGCGGGAGCAGCGCGAGCGGCACAAGCTGGTCTCTGCCACAGGGCCAGCTCTCAAACAAGCACAATTGATTTTTGTAGGTGTAAAGGCGTTTTCAGTGTACCCCACTTAGACTGCTCCAGCTCTAATTCCCCTCCAACCCTAAAACTGCAACCTGCTGCCAATTCATACACGTGCACGGGGCGCTAACTACAACTAGGAAAGAAAGCGGGAACCGGTCTGCGTGTGCCATTCGTGTCAGTCTGATACAGCTACCTGCTTCTCGCCAGCTCGTCTGTGCTTTGTTTCACTCCTATTCCAGCTGCCCACACCATGTTTCTTTGGGATCAGAGCCCTTCAGGACCGCAACCTACAGAGTTACAGCTGAGTTGTTGCACACCCACTGCGTGCACCGAGTCCCGGCGTCAGTGTGCCTGCAGGGATGTAGCATTATAATGAACTACCGCAGGCTCTGATTCCTGAGAGTCAAAGAAAAGACCCTGAGCTCGGTCTGTCCTTCAGCAAGCTGAGCTGCTGCAGTACCCCAAAGCAGCTTTCAGTCCATCCTACCTGGAGAGAGGACACCCGCCCTGGCAGAGGAGATCCTGCAGGCCTGGCCCAGGGCACTGCGGGCTTGCTGGGACCAAGAGGCTCACCAGCAGCATGGCCAGACTGGGCGAGCTCCAGTGAGCCCCCACGGACGGCAAGGGTGATGGGAAGGCGTGGGAAGGCGGCTCCACGCCCGCTCCGCCACCTGACTGCTTCCTGCAGTGCTTCTGGGAGTCTGGCCGTGGGCACAGAGCTGCATGTATCTCTGGACTTGGAAAAGCAAGGGCCATCCTGCCCCAGCGAGCACTGGGCTCCTCGCCTCTCATCTCTAACGAGCTCCAAAACACTAACGGCTGGCCTGTACTCCAAGCTCCAGGGAATCCCTGCCTCAGGCACACAACCTCCAGGACCAAGATGCAGTCCTTTATGGATTACCACCACATTTCTTCCTACTCTGTTTTGCAGCCTGTGCTCTGCCTACCACACGGTCTAACAGGCTAAATAAGCTGAAACCTGGGGCTAAACAACCTGTGAAACCAAGAGGCGGATGAGATGGCAGGAAGAATCAAACAGACTTTGCATCCCACTTTCTGCCATTCTGCTTTCTGGCAGCACCCGCGGCCACGCAACCGCAGCCTTTGCAGCCTGCAACACAGCCGCTTCGGTCCAGTTTCTAAAGCGAGGAGCTTTCCTCTTGTCTGGGAACCTTATTTAATAAAACAGCCCTGCCTAAAAAGACCCCAGGTGAAAGGGAGCAACACAGACCTTGAGCATCCCAAATCCCACTTCCCATTTCTCTCCCCATCCCTGACGCTTCTGGAAGACACTGGATTAATTGTGCATTGGGCAGACAGAGGCACTGGAGCTGGAGAATGGACCTTGGGGCAGGAGGACGCAGCCTAGCAAGTGCCTTTCACTGCTGTACAGGGAACCGTGCCCGCCTCCCAGACATGTGATGAACCTCCCAAACAGCCCTGATGAACACCACAAGCCACGGTACAGGGAAAAAGGCTGCATTTTGAGACACTGTGGAAGCCCTGAACTCAAGAGCAACCACAGAAAACCTAACACGAAGGGCAACGCACAAGGCAGACACACACACACGTGCCACCGAAGGCCACCCTTACTGTGCCAAAGCCGGGAACGTCGAGTGTGTAGTCGGACTGCTGACGGAGCCAGTCGAGGAGACTCTTATTCGGGACAGCCTTCTCTGCTTGGCTGCCTGCAGCTGGGACTGGCTGTGGAGTTGAGGTAGCAGCAACCGGCCCATCGGGGAGGGGACTGTTCTGGGGGGGCTGCGGCTGGTCTTCCTGAACATCCTGACATGGAGGGAGGAGCAGGGAGAGCCCATCAGCAGCACATGGTGATGCATGTGCACCCAGATAAGCAGAGCCCCAAAGCAGGTCATCTGCTCCCATCGCGCAGATTAATCCACATACTCCTAGTGCCTGTTCCTTAAATCACCACCCACCACCACAGTACACTTCCACTCAGTCCCCAGCACTGGTGGCACAGAGGGCGGAGCGAGCTGGCAGATGCTTCTGAACTCACCTGGAAACACCCTCATCACCAGGAGGACCAACCTCCCCTCAGATCACTCCTAAAAGTGGTCTAGAGGGACTGGTCTTGCTCCCAGAGCCCCAGTCGTCTTTGAGTGGATCCCAGGGTAGAAGGAGAAAGGGTGCAGCAGGCTCGTGGCCGCAGCTCCAATGCAGTCAAGGACCTTCCCCCATGTTCTCTAACCCTAGACACCCCCCGAGGTGGGACAGCTGCTTTTGATAAAGCTTACTGGAACTCAAACACTCCAGGCAGAGTGCTGCAAGCCAGAGGGAAAACTTCCCTTCCTCCCTGGAGTAGTATCCGCTCCTGCCTGCTCCAGCACAAGCCAAGCTGTCCTGGAGGAGGTCCCACATTGTCATGAGCGGCAGAGCTCGTAGGGGAGAGCTGGACCGTGAGACAAATCGTGCTGACTCCATCGGAGCCAAGTGAAAGAGGGGAGCGTCAACCCACCTGCAGCCTGGTTGGAAGAGGCCTCTCCTTCAAGAAGATGAGGTCCATCCCTTCTACATTTTTTCTCCTGCCCCGTCTCCTCCTCATGGCAGCATCGTCTCTTCGCAGGCTGCCATTTACAATTTGTCCTGTGACAGGATGGATTAACCCTGCCTGGAGGATGCCAGATAAGTCCATGCCCAGAGAGCCCTGGAGCGTGTTCACGGTACCCAGTTTGGGCATGTTGGCATTCAGGGGGAAAGGAGAGGAGTTCCCCGGGGACCCATCAGAGCCTCTGGACAAGTCCACCGCTGCATCACGCCAGCCGTTCAGCACAATGGGTGGATGAACGTGGGTTGCTGCTAGCTGCTCCAAGCTCCTCTGCTTGGCATCTCTCTCCATCTCGAATTCATAGGGCCTCCTGTGCTTCCGCTCATCCTTTGCAAAGGCAGGGGTCAGGAAACCTTCCTGTGTGTATCAAAGCCATGGAGAGGGTTACGGCTGCTCGTGCGCTGCCCAGGGGCCACAGCTCTTCAACACTGAGCTAATGGTCAGGCTCTTCTGTCTCTCCACAGGAGCCCTGGAGGATGCCCTGTCCCTGGGCACGTCACACTTCTCCTTCCCTTCGTGGGAGCACCCTCACACACACCGATCCCCCAAGGTGCTATAACCCTGGGTGCTCTGCCAGCTGCCGGGCAGCTGGGCTGCGGTCCCATGCCAGCAGCTTCCACCTCTGCGCTGTGTCCAACAGCAAGAGGAGATGGAGAGCGCTGGTGACTGTCGGGGCAGTGCCCGCTCCTGCACCCTTTCCTTTGGGACACCAGGGCAGTGTCCCCTTTTCCTCCTGACCATGCCAGGTGCTCCAGTGCTGACTCTGGAAGCACCTCTACAGCCGCAGGAGCTGCGGAGCTGCCGCAGAACAGCCGCCTTCCCGGGGGGGAGCAGGGCTGGCGGGGGGCTGAGAGCACGGGGAGCTCAGCAGGAGCCCTCAGTGGAGGGGACCAGGGGGCTTAAGCCGTGTGTTAGACACTGCAAGTGGCACCAAGAGGCAGTGAAAACCCAGGCCCCGCTTGGGAAACTCCTGAGCACTTGTGGGCAATGCTTCACCCCAGAGTCCCAAGCCTGTCCCTGCCTGAGGGCCCCCCTCACCTTTTGTACCTGTGAGATTAACACCCCGTTATTGAAGCTGGGTTCGGGGGCTTCTGACTCGGCAAAGCTGTTCCTGCTGCCGGCATTGCTGGCTACCGCTGGAGCCGTAAGCAGGCTTTGTGTCTCAAACTGCTGGCTGGAGGAAGGCCACTTGCCCTTCAGGATGGCATGGCAGATGTTGTCAATGCGGTTGATGATCACACGGTCCTGCAAACAAGAGTTGGACAGTGGCAGGCTGGGACTCGAATGACTGACTCGTGTATGTCGTCTCAGGATTAAAGACAAACCCAGTCCTGGTGACCTCAGCCTGGCAGGGAACTGCTTTGGGGCAGGCGTGTCCATGGCACGGGTGCTTGGGAAGAGCACCCCAGTTAGAGCATCCGTGGGGAGCCGTGTGCGGAGGACCAGGAGGCAGAGCTGAGGCTGTGTGAGCCACTGCTGCTCAGGACCATGCAGCAACACTTGCAATACAAACAGTGTTAATTTTCAACTCACCTTAGGCCACTCGGAGAAGGAGTAAAGTGTCTTCTCCTGCAGCAGCTGGGCTATGGTCGGTGCCCGGGCATCCTGAAGGTCATCGATCTCCCCGGGCAGGACAGAAGCAGAACTCTTGCTCTCTTCCTCCAAGTACTTCTCTGGACCATCTGAGAAAGCGACAGAGAACAGAGACCATCACCGCCCCGCCTCTCGCCTTCTCGAGGCAGGAGCAACTCCTCACACCTGCCCACCCCAGCGCCCAGCTGGCTCCACAAAGGTCCCATTCCTCAACCAGACACCAAGAAATGCAGCAGCCCCGGGTCACGGCAGGCGGCCCACGCTGCTCAGGAAGGGCCAGCACTCCCCTGAGTCTGGGGGGCTCGTACTGCAGTGGCCCCCAGCCCTGACCATCCCCGTGCCCTGGGTGGGTGAGGAGGATGGCACATGCCTTTCCAGAAGGAGCTGCTCACCAGGCAGTGCCCCGTGCCAGGACGGAAAGGGCGTCCTGCATTCCATGGGATGCTCATGGCAGAAGGGCTGCTGGGGCTCAGGGTGGGGGGTTCTGGCCAGCCCTGCTGGCAAACGCAGCCACCAACCCTTTGTTCCCCAATCACATCAGCTCCAGGGACCCCAACGCCTGCAGAAGGGAGGCTGCTCTGGGGGCTCGGCACCCAAGGCTTCGGCTCCGCAGGGAGGACAGCAGGTCCCTGCCACCCCAGCCGGAGGTGACTGCCATCCAGAGGGAGCTCTCAGGACCGTACCTTGACTCCGGCTGCTGCTGGCTTTCTCCCCCTCATCTCTGTTCTCACACTCTTCTTGCTTCACCCCCTGGGGCTCGGGGTGCAGGGTGTCTCTGCAGCCTGCCTGCCCCTCAGCCCCTCGGCCCCAGGCCTCCCCGCCAGCACAGGGGGGCTCTGCCCCTGGGGCCCCCAGCAGAGGTGCGGGCAGGCTGAAAGCCTGGCTCCGAGCCTGGCCCGGTGAGTGCTGCAGGCTGCTCTCCTCATCCAGGCCACGGTCCTCCCTGCCCTCTGGCCCGGGCTCCCCCAGCCCTTCGGGTGTCCCCAGCCCCAGGGACTCTCTCTCGCCATTCACATCTTCTGGGCAAGTGTCCTCGGGCGTGGGGAGGCCAGAGCTCTGCTCCTCGCCCCCTAGTTCATTAGCTTCGGGGTCACAACCGGCCCTGGTCCTGGGACCACTCAAGCCTTCCACCACATCTGCTGCTGCCTCAGAGTTATCATCGTCCTCTTCTTCCTCTTCATCTTCCTCGCTGTGGCTCTGACTTGGCCCTGACTTTGCCTCCATTCCTTTCTTCTGCAGCAGATTGATGAACCTCTGCTCAGGAGGAACCTTTATTTCATAGTTACGAAGACTGGGACTGTAGAGCCCCACGCTTATGACCCCTTCCACGGCACCGTGCTCAGGCAGCACTGGCGCAGGGCTGGTGAGGTCTCCCTTCCGCTGCAAGGCTTCGCAGAGCTCTGCTGGGACGCTCCGCGAAGGGTCGCTTTCGGGGGTAGAAGGTGAAGGCTCAGCTTCCTCGTTCTGGCTGTCCATGCGGTCACAGCCCACCTGCAAACCCTCTAGGAAGGGAGTGTCTCTCATGGCATCTGCATCACAACTCGACGGATCCTCGTCCCCCTCTAGCTTGCCCTCAGAGAGTTTAGCAACGCTGCTTCCAACTTCCGTGCAACTTGGGCTGTCCCGGGCAAGGGAGCTTTGCTCGCTGTTACAGGCCTTCTCATCGTACATCATGCACACCAACGAGTCCGGCAGAGAGCTCTCATCATAGTTACTGGAAATGATGTCCCGGACTTTAGACATGAATGTTTCACAGTTTGCATCCGGTGGACTGCCCCCAGCCTGGGACATAGTGTTGTCTACGGTGTCTAGCTTAATCTGACTCTCAGCTTCAGTCTCCAGGGATTCGCAAGTCCGGTCCACCTGGCTGTACAGAGGGGAACTGTAGAGTTTGGAGTTAGTCTGGTAAAGGCAGCACAGGGTTTCTGGGCCTGGGAGCCCCGTTCTTTTATGCTGGGCATAGTTCCTGTATGCATCTAAAAAAGACAGCTGGGGGTCATTCATGATGTAGTAGTCAGTGCGATTCAGGCCATGCTTGGCGGTGCCGATCAGCAGGTCCCGATCATGTTTGCCACACTCCCACCACACTGGCAGGTAGAGGCTCGGCCGGCACAGCTTAAGCCGCTCGTGGAGCTGCGGACACTTGAGCACCTGCTCGCGCACCTTTCGCAGAAGCTCGATACGGTAGAGGGTTCTGGCAGCACGTTCCTCCGTGATGGGCTCCACATAGATGTCAGGGTCTGGGGGACCTACAGCAGGGACAGAAAAGCCAAGGCCCCATTATACAGATTGATGAGAGTTACTCAGAGGCAGTGATGAGCAAGGTGAGTTTTAACTCTCGCTCAGACTGCAGGTCAGGTGCGGGGAGTGCCTGTAACCACTGTTGAGGCTGCTTTTTCTCACCACCTTCACTTCATTTGCCACCAAATGGACACATGGGAGTAAACTCCCTCGACTTTAGCAGCTGGACCAAGAGCAGCACTCAGATGCAGAGGATTTCAGATTCTTGTCTGAGCTCTGCTCCATCAGTGCCAGCAGTGCTGGAGCTGCCTGGACCTGCCGGCAGAGCGGCTCCATGGGGTCTGTGCCTCTGGTAGCCCTTCAGCAGGTTCTCAGGGAAGGGAGTCCCTCAACTCGTGCAGCTCTTTTGATGAGGAACACCTACCTAAGGCATTAACACACACATCCAAGGAACTGCGCCTGAGACCAGACCTCCTGACAGGTCGGAGGCAAAATCCTTTCTGCTGCTGTTAGAAGCAAATCACTTTGGGCTTAAATAGCCCCCAATCAGCTTTTCATCTGCCATGTCCTGCATGGTGCCAATGCACTGGGGCTCTGCAGGGCACTCTGAGAAAACGGATGCCCTGTGTGCTGGCCAGGCTTCCCAAGCCTCCTGCAGTGGGTTCAGCCTCCCCTTACCCTGTAGCAGAGCTCTCTAGTCAGCTACGCCACAGCATGAGCACCGTGCAGACTCTGTCCAGCACCAGCAGAGAGATACTTGGAAAGAAAGCAGCAATACAGATCGCCCAAACAACCCGCAGCTCCAGTGTCGAGGAGATGTGATCTGCTGCTTCTCTGCTCTTCCTGCCTCACATCTAGTGGTTGCTGTCTTGGATAAAATTGGTTGTGATTTCACGGGAGAGCTTCGTGAGAGCTGTGAGAGCAGGGGCTGGAGCCCACAGGGCTGCTCTACCTCCCCATCATGCTGGGGAGGCTGTACACGGTGGTGACAAGGCAGCCAGAAATGCACGTGGCTTCTGCAAGCCCACAGCTTGCCTGGCGTCTTGCTGCCTCCAACTGTCCCTGAAACTCCTCCCTCGCTCTCCTGCTCCATGAGAGCCATGGGACCATTTCTGACCTATGGCTACACAGACCTACCGTTACCCCCTCACAGGCCATGCAGTTTCCACTCACCATCCTCTTTCCACAGTGGGAGACCACAGACATTCTTGCACATGGCCACGAAGCTGTAGAAGTACTTCTCCAGGCTCTCATCTGTCTTCTTCTCCAGCCTAGAGATGGCTCGGAACTGGGCCCAGTCAAAGACCTTTTTCTCCTGGTCATAGATAACCCCAAAGGAGGAGACAGTGCGGTAGAAATCTGCCTGCTCCCTCCTGGTCCACCTGTGGGGCAGGGAGGAGACACGAACACCACTGAGACACGTTCTGGTCCCAGCGTGGGCAAGGCACCAGGCAGAGAGGCTCAGGGAGGACTATCTAGTTACTGTCCACCAGTTTTGGGGGAACTGCCAGGAGGAGCACACCAGGGAGATCATCACAACCTCAGATCCTCTGCCTTATGGCGCATAGCGAGGAGGAGCGAAGGCCACGGGCCCTCTGGCTCTCAGCTCACTGTTGAAAAAACACTCTCATCTGGTTGAAAAAATGCTAAGTGCAGCTCCTGCCTGTGCTGCCGATGGGACGCAGGCTCCAGCAGCTTCTGTGGAGGCACAAACCTATCTCACCTATCTGCTTCCTGCACATCGAGTTGTCTCATCACTTCCACAGAAAGGCCAACTCTCTGTACCAGGAATTAGAAAAGAAGGTCCTGCAGACACAGCTCTCATCCAGCCTCTTCCAGAGGGAAACCGGGACTGGGGCTCGCTGTAAGGGTCCGAGTAACAAACACCATCCACCCTGCTGACTCCTGTGGACTCCTGGGTGCCAGGGGTGGGTGTCAGCCCCTCCCTGCTGAAGGAAAGAAGCCGTGGTGATGGGGGCTTTCAGTTACAGCACAGTTAGAGCACAACTTTCACTCTGGCTTGGGCCCTCTGAGCTTTCACCTCATGGGGATCACTCAAAGGAACGATCCAGGACAGAGATGGTGAAGAGCATCCTGGGCAAACGCAGCCCCAGGCAAACAGAGCGCAGAGAAACAGGCCACAGAGAACAGCCCAGGGTGCAAACTGCAGGGCAAGCGCAGGAGCAGGTCCTGGCAGAGAAAGGTGAGTGCTGCAGGCTGAAGAAAGCTTAAAGTCACATCTCAACTCCTCTGAATTGCAGCTGGGACACGTCAAGGGAGAACAGACAGGGTGACAGCACCCACAGCACTCTCCAACTGACCAAAACACACCTAGACCAGCATTTCCACCCATGCTCCCAGGGGCCATGAGCCCTCTGCAGTGGTATTTCATTCCAAAAAGGTGAATAATAAGAAGAAAGTTAATTAAAAAATCAATGATCCAAATCAAGGAGCCCAACAGGGAGTTTGTTGAAAGGTCTCAAAGGCTGGTGGGAAACTGCCTAGGATGCTCCTGTAAGGAGACGCAAAAAAAGAAAAGCCCACAGAATTAAAGAGCAGGATACCAGGCTGCTGTGGTATCTGAAGCACAACCACTGATGCCCCCACTTTGGAGAGGGGACGGTACAACTGGAAGAGGCCCAGAGGAAGGGGAGAGGGCTGGAGCAGCTTCCGTGCAAGGAGGCCGTGAACAGAGAGCACGGGGCAGCCCAGATACCAAGCGGTTCCGTGGGTTCCTGCAATGGGGACAGGTTCACAGGAGACAAAGCCATCGAGGACTGCTGACCAGAGAGAGCCCCTGCAGTTCTGGAAGTCCCAGGGCTGTGCACTGGGGACCGGCAGCGATGGACACAGCATCACCCGGCCGCACACCCTCCCCGGTTTCTGCACAGAGCCACGCAGGGTGCCAGGAAGGTCCCACCATCCTTCCACTTACTGGGACGCGAGCGAAATGCGAGCACACCACAACCAGGATATGCCACCACTGGGCTCCCGAGGCCATGAGCAGGAGGCTAAAGCAGCAGTGTGAGAGCCGTGAGGGTCAGAAAGGCTACGCACATGGGCTGCAACAGTGCTCATCCATCACCCTCATCCATGGTGTGTCCCAAATGCACAACACTGCTCAACAGCACCGGCTCTGCTGGGACTGGGGGGCGATCCCTGGCCCAGCAGACGCTGGATTTGACTCTGAAGAGCTGTCCCCTCACTTCCTTTCACCGTGCCACCAGCTGCTATCCACAAACTACAGCGGAGGCTGCTCCCCGGCCGGGCTGGCTGCCGGAGGCTCCCTCAAAGCAGCATTCCCTGCCCAGCAAGGACCCACGCGCCTCCGTCGCGCGGGCAGCTGGCTGCACAGACAGCCGTGGTGACATCTACCTGGGTAAATGCAGGGGAGCAAGGATTTCAACTGGCCTAGAGCTTTGGAAAGGACCCTCTGCTGCATTACCTTTTCTGCATTTCTTTGTTCACCGAGTCCATCTCAGAGGCTCTCCTGAACATCTCGTCCTGCAGCCAGTATCCATGGTTACCGGGCACCAGCATCTCGGCACGGGGAGGCAGCTCTTTGCGGTTGCAGCGCTGGTAGACAGTGACGAGCCTCCGCAGTCTGGCTGTGAGGGCAGATGAGACAGGCCAGCAGGATCTGTCTGAGTCGGAGCCATCCTGGGCTTCAAACATCAGCAAGGACATTAGTATTTAATGCACACTCAAAGCCACAGGTTCCCACATCCCTCCAGCCAGCTCTAAGAGCTCCCTCCCACAGGGAACACCAGGGATCACAGTCATGAGTGGGGGGCTGCAGTGACCATCCCTGGGCCTCCGCACCCCGAAAGCTGCTGGCTCACAGGCTTGCCATGTCTGAGCTTCCTTCAGACAGAGCCCAGAAGTAGAGGTCAGGGTAGGAATGATGGCTCCGGGCCAGGCCACGCATGGGAGAGGACTGCAGCTCCCTGCGCAGCAGCAACATGGCATCCTCCAGCACTGCCCACTGCAGAGACCCCACACGCTCATCTCGTGCAGGCAACTGTATGGACAAGGGCAGGCTAACAGCTTCTAGTCACCCCTGGCTGGCTTTGGCTAGTAACACTTTTTCGGGACCCTGTCTGCCCTGTCACGGGGCCCATCCCTGGGTCACACGTGACTCTGCACAGGAGGGCTCCTGACAGGAGCCTGCCCAGCTTAAGCTACCTCACCCACTGACACAGAGCAACGCG